TTTTGGCTCCCAAAATGTCCTCCCCCGACTCGCGGCTTCACGTGGCGACCGGAAGAGCCGCTCGCTGTCTCTTCGACAGCTGATGCGGTGACCGACAGCAAGCGGACAGGACGACGCCGTCGGACGCGATCACAAGACCCCCTGAGGAGGCATCGGGCGGCAAGAGCTGCCAGACGTCGACTCAAGCGCCAGCGTCCCGGGCACATCGCGATAGTTCTGAGAGGCGTAGGACACCCTCAGTTACTGCGAACTACAGTCTTCATAGTGGTGGATCCACCAGGATGGATTCACCCTACTTCCGTAGGGACGTAGACCCCAGTGTGATACGCATGTACACCCGGAACGTACGTTCTCTATTAGGATACGGCCACAGGTTGGCAGTCGTTGAGTCCTTGAAGGCGATCGGGAGTGATGTCCCAATAATCGCCCTACAGGAAACTCGACTACGAGAGGAAGTGCAAAGAGAATCGCTAGGGGATCACATCCTCTACAGCTCTCCTGGACTACGCGGAATCGGTGGAGTGGGTTTCCTATTCCATCCCAATGTCAGGGTTCAGTCATGGGTATCTGTTTCAAATAGAATAGCTCATACCACGCTGAACAGTGGCAAAACCATTGGTGTGTGCTACGCTCCCACAGAGGTAGCGCCGCAGGGTCAAAAGGATGAGTTTTGAGATTTTGTCGAAGAAGTGGTGAGACTAGAACGTCCGGAAATTGTCTGCGGTGACTTCAACGGCTAGGTTCAGATCTCGCAAGGGATCCGATCCACGGCCTCGGCAAGGCTTATGCTTATGAGGAGACCAATGACAATGGAGGGCGTTAAGTTTTCTTGGTATTTTATTAAAGCCATGGGAAAAACGTTAATTAAAAAGTAAAACATTAACCAAATGAGAAGAAAATTAAATTTGTCGGTAAAAAATTAATTTGAGCTGGAAATGCTGTAGTGTCGCCAGCTCCTCAGTGGTCTCCTGGTCCTCTAGTACGATGATGCATTCCATCGCCGCTTGGAGCTTCTGAATTTTGCCCCTCAATCTGCCTCGTAGGACTCTCCTTTTCGAAGCTCTTTCTTGTAGGATTCTTCATCCTTTACGAGTGCTCCCATGGTACTACTAGCCGCTTCGGATTTACTATAGCCGTCGTCCATCTTGGGTGTCGCACCGCCACCAGCTGTCATCATGTTACGGTCGGCTAGTGACCATGACTCGGTAAGTCTGGACGGTTCCTCAACGCGACTAATACTCACAGCAAGAAAAGTGCCTCGTCTATATCTGATTAGCTTCACACCCTTAATACCTACTAGGCAAGCTAAGGCCCTTAAAGGACCTAGCTCCAAAAAGGAGCTGTGATTTAGGTTGGTCCGGACCAGCCTAAACCAGCCTGGGATATACTCTCTTCACCATCGGGCGCGCGCTTTCTCCTCCGAGATCGTAACTCATCGACGGAAGTGTGCGGAGGTTCGATCTCGAGGCGTTCTACCCACACTATCTAAAACAAAACCTTGTGGATATCAGAAACGCATACCTGCTGTTAACATGAACAACGCGTTATAACTGATTAGTCACGTACTCTTCATGCTTAAGAAAGATAAGAAATCGGAAACCATCACGCAATCGTAATTACGACAAAGCATGTGTCACAAAGGCGAGGCTGCAGCAGACGAATCTTTTAGCATCATAAAATGTCTCTTTCGCAGGGGGGCTCTCATCCTTGCCACGTGCTCCTCAATCTTCTGGCCTTCCTTCTACTTCCAGTATACTTGTGCCTTCCTAAGGCATAGTCTTTAGATCCTGTAACTGTGTGACTAACAGTCTAATTGCTTGCTTGTCTGGAGGTTAAGTCGACATGCTGGCATGTCCATGTCGCTGGTTCTATCTCTGCACCTTATAATTTTCGATCATTTTCAGAGGTTCTGTTCACTTAAGGACCTTAAACTCCTTTCCTTCACCTTAAGTTTAGAACTTCCCCAAAAATCCCTCATGGTTCGATTTCTGATACCTAATGAAGCCATTTCAAAGTCCTACGCTTAGCGTTAGGTCCTAGCCCTAAAGTTTAGGTCTTCAAATCACTAAGGGCCCTAAGCTATAGGCCCACTAACGCTTCTTCTCTGGCATCAGCAACTGCATCATGAACCTAGCTAACGACGTGGTGACGAACGTCCAACAACTCTGTTGTACCTTTAAATCATCAGCCGATCCGTTGGTGAGGGTTCACTGATTCTTATCACCGACTCTTACTGATTTCGGTCTTGTACCGCTTCCAGTCATGCACCATTCTTTGGTATCCGCGAGAACTACTCTTCACTCTCAAGACATTGCCGTTATGCAGCTCATGTAATTATTGATCACACTGTCACCTAACAATCCTTATTCCGAGTGCGTCATTCGCAGAATCGATATAATCAATCCTCCCATATCGCAAGTGGCAGTCAACACTTGACAACACAAGACCAATTAGTGATAGAAGAGAGGGTAGTAAAATCCATCGAACTATTCGATTCAAATAATACGTCTGTTTTACCTCGAAGCCGATACTGTTCACTCGTAATCGTTTGTGCGGTTGACGATTTTTCTACCTCAGTGAAGATATGAAACCTCACTTTCTTGGTCGTATGATTGTGGACTGTTCATCATGTGATTCGGTACTCTCTCGTGAGGTCACAGTCTATATCTGTGTCTCGGCTGCTATCACAAGTCTGGTAAAGTAGAGATTCCGCCGTTGCCCGTTTGCTTTCCTTACTCAAGATTTCTATTAAAGCGCAAGGCATATTACCTGCTGGACTTTATGGCTTAGTGATACAAGGAATGATTCATAGACGACTAGCACCTAAGTAGAAGTATAGCAATTTCAATACCTTTCAGGAATTCTTACAACCCGGGTTCCATGGCTCGCTTCTTATGTCACACATACGCAATATACTCTCCAGCTAACGTGTCCTCTACAGCGAATGCTCGCGGCAGTATCAAAGTCTTATTTAAGTAATCCCTTATCGATCTACGAGCTTTTTTGTAATAGACTACCTATATCTCTCGCGTAAGGGTCTCCCATAACCTTTGTTTTTGAGCTTCATCGGAGCACTGCGTCAACTTTTTCATACGCGTCAGTACTTGTTCAAGGGCTCCTCGTGCCTCTCACTGAAGTTCTCGAGATGCATCTTCAACTTGAGAATATAGAGCACAAGAGGCAACTGAAGTGAAAGCACCTCGCGTAAGGTGTAAGTCTCCTTGTCCATCGTTCCTAAATCAGAGGTGCACCTTGAGGAGCGTTTCTCGTGAAATCTCACTGCATGCTTCTGCTCTGAGCAACAACGAGCTTAAGAGTTCTGGACCAAACAGCGGGTTATCTAACTTCTAACTCTAAGTCAGATCAGTTTAAAGGCTATAGAGCCTGCATGAACGAATGATTTGCCATCTCGATCTGCAATTCATGAAATCGATTTGCTACTACCCGACTAGGTCCATAACCGTTTGCTCGACTCGCTCCAATCTATTTAATGCAGTGTATTATTGAGCCGAATTTTGGACGACACTGTTGTATCATGCGTTCATATGACTGGACAGGGCGCAGTATAGCATACAGTCGCATTGAATCACCATGTTCTAGATACTATCTCAATTTCATCCACACTAACATCTAATGATCAGATTGTGCTCTAGGGCGGCTCTGCGTTGTGTCCTTGCTATCACACGACCCGCTAACGGACTCGTGTCCTCAAGTTACTCGAAAGTACAACTCGAACCCGTATTACGCCACGCTACTTATTTGTCCTCGAGCCAACAAATTCGGCAGTAGATCCGAAGTATAGAATTTTAGGAGCGAAAGGGACGATAGACCCAGGAGCGGGACGCACACACTTATGTTTACCGAAGGGTAGAAGAGCGAGGCGAGATTGCATACCAACTAATAAGGTGGCGGAGTGGGTTAAGCGGATGAGAGCCGCCCAGCTATCACCCAGGAGGCCGAAGTATACCTTACCTTGTGGCTCGAAGGGGAGACAATCGCTGCTGGACCTCACATGGTCTCAGTGTTGTACTCAGAGCAGGTAGAGGATAAGGTCGGTCTGCTAATAGGCAGGGATATTGGCAGCAGAGTAGGATTGCAGTTGGACCTAGCAACGGGAACGGTGTCTCGATCGAAA